GCCGCTCCCCCCTGCACCACTGGGAGGTGCACCCACTAGGTTGGGGAGGCCCTGGGAAGGGCAGCAGGGCAGGCAGCCTGAGCCTGCAGTGGGCAAGCTGTAGCTGACCTGCCCCCACCCTGCGCACAAGTCTGGGGGGCATGGGTCTTCCCTGCCCCCTGGGAGTATGCACAGCGGTGGGGACATCTGGCCAAGCTGCCCATGGTCTCGTCCCACCCCCACCTGAAGCCCTCTACCTGCACATTCTGGCCCTGGGCCCCAAACCCAATACACCCCCTGGCTGGGCAGCAGCTCCAGACCCAGCCCCAACCCTGCTTAATCCCTGCCCCCACCATACTTACCTGAGGGAGCTGTTCTCCTGTCTGTCTGGTGGCCATGCACATACATATGCACATGGCACACCCTGCCTGACCACCCTCCTTCCGGAAAAATACAAAAGCCATATGTTTCTTTCATTAAAATGAAAAATCTGTATTTTTTTCTGTTTTTCCATGGGAAACAGAAAACCCAGATCCCTGGTAATTAGTGTGGCCTTGCCCTCTATGGGTTGGAAGCAGACCAGGGAGCTTTGCACCTTATCTGCATATACATTTCTGGAGGGTCCCAAGACTTGTGACAAGAACATCCGGTACCAGTTGTGAGTGGGGGATAATTAGCACATGGATCCTTTGTGGGGTAGTATCTAGAATACATGCATGTACTGAGCAGTGCTGAACTGTGGGATCACCGTAGCTGTGGAGTAATATCATGCAGAGTTTGTACTATGTATAAGTGGGTACAAAAGTGCTCAGAAGTGTGTTTATGGAGTACTTTGCTGATACTTGCAGTAGTTTTCAACAAGTTATAATGCATCAATTCTGAACAAGTTTATACATACCCAGTAATTTACATATATACAAATCTTGATGGATATGTTTATTTAAAAGTCAGTGTTTTTCAGTCTCTTATATTTCAAATTAACAAGGGGGGAAGGAGGAGCAGGCAACTGCTGCAGTTCTGTCTCTGACCTTGAGTCTGGCTTGGGACCAGAGTCAGACCAACAGTCATTTCCTGGTCCCCTCTGCTTACCCTCTGCAACTTCTACCCTCTCCTCTGTCCCTTTCCCCCACTTATTGTCATGTGCAACTCACTGCTACATTGTGCTTGGGGAGGGAACAGTGACTGAGCAGGGTCTGACAGTAAGTGGGAGCAGGAAGGCTACAGGGGAAAGAAGTGGTGTGGGAGGGGGCGGCAGAGGGCAAGAGGGTTACCTGACCACCACCCATCCCCATGACTGTTTTTTCTTGCTGTAGCAGTGGGAGGGCCATGAATTCAAGAAAGTCTTCTGATTCTACACTTGGAAAATTATAACAATTTTCTAAATGTTCCATATATAGATTCGAATTATTCGGGTGTGTTCATCTTGTATTCAGGGTTGTCTTATATTTGGTTTAAAATGTGATATAATTATCAGTTGGATTTACTGTCCAGATGTTTATGGGAATACCCAAGGAAGAAGCTAGGCCTGGGGAATATTATCAATCATCTTTCCATCTTTTCCTAAGAAAAGATTATCATACTTTCCTCTTTGCAAAAGTCTGTTTCACATATGGCTGACTAAATGTAAATAACAGGTACTTGAGATGGTTAGATATTATCACCTTTTCCATGCTTTGGTGTGTTGTCTTTGTTTCTGAATCAGTCCCTGCTGTTTCCTTCTTTACTTGAGGAATCAGTGGTATGTTTGGAGCTTTTTGCATTGTGCCTTTAACATCTAGTTAGAGAGGACTAGTGAAGGATCCAGACAGAGGCTTTGAATGTGATTAGCCTTCAAAATGGGTGTGTGTATGAATATGGATTTCTGAATCAAAACCTGATTGTGGAACCAAGCTGCATGAAGAGGGCCCATCTTTATAACAAGGCAGAATTGCAGTCCTATTTTCAAACTTTGTCTGGGTCATATTGAAACAATAATATTTGTTGAGTATTGCAGCTGAACAGAAAAGTAGGATCAGTTCCCTCAAAAGAAGGTCGTAGTCTAGATTCCAGGTAGTAGGTAAACAGGTGGGGAAAGGAAAGGCCATTATTATGATATTTTGAGTCATTTAATTTGTGAAGATAGCTTTATCTATGAGTGTGGACTTTAACTTGAAACGTCCTTTCATCTCTGTTAGGTATTTTGTTCTACACAAATTAACCAACCTGAAATTCCTTGATACTCGGAAAGTAACCAGAACTGAGCGTGAGGAAGCCTTGGTAAGAGGTGCCTTTATGAAAGTGGTTAAACCCATGGATGCTCAGGTAGGAAATTCAATGGCTGTTATAATTTCACATTAATACTGTTTTGTGTTGCTTCATGAGTCAAAAATAAGTAACAACTCAATCATTAATGTATTCACTAACCAGAAATGTATCTTTCGGATATCTAAAAGCTTGGTGAATGCTATTGCCACATAATGGATAAGACACTTTACAGGCCACACAGGGTGCACCCACACATGCTTGCAGCAGCTCAAATAAGAGCAGAACAAATTTGAGTTGGGGATTTTTGCCTCAGCGCAAATGTCTGAACATGCACTTTGGTGTGGGGCAAGTTGTGCCACTCGGGGCAAAATAACCCTGCCCAGCTCCTCCGGGATCTGTACCCAGGGGTGTTAGAGCCTGGGGCCAGCACCCGTGCTGACCTCAGCAGTATAAAAACCTACCCTGTGCTGGCCCCAGCAGTATAAAAACCTGCCATGGTGAGCAGCTCAGGGCTGCTTTCCCTCAGGAGCTTCTGAGGCCTGGTCATTTGATGTCTGGGGACATTACCTCTTGTGCCAGCTGGACTGCTGAAGCAGGCCTAACCTGGAGTGACCCCTGTGCCATCTACCCACTGCAGCAGTCTGGCAGTTGGGGCTGCTGCCTGGCCGTGACCTGCTGCCACCTGCAACAGCATCTGCCCCTTTGGACCTGTGGCCCCATGGCTGCGCCCCTGCCAGACCCGGATGGGGTGCCTCTGTTCTACTATCTGGGCAGCTATCACCCAGAATATGTGCCCCTTATGGTGGCCTGCTTTGAACTGTCAAAGCGAGTCCTCTTGGCCCCAAATGGCCAAGAAGTCAGCCACCTCATCTGCCCTCCAGCTGGGTCCCCAGTGCTGGCCCTGGACAGGGTCCTCTGCCCGGGTCTCGGCACTTTTCTCACCAGCAGAGATCCTGGTGTTCCCTGTTTATGAATTGCAAATACTTTGATAAGGAACCCAGATTCTCTCATTATAATACCCAAAATAGTGTTCTTCTGGCTCCAGGCCACTTAGGCTGACACCCGGGGCCCCACACTGGGCTGGGTCCTGCGTGCATGGGCTCCATGCCACATTGAGCCGGGCTGGTTCCATGCACACAGGACCTGGCTCGGCACAGCAGGCAGTCCCTGCAAGCGGCACCATGCTGGGCTGGGCCCGCATGATGTGGCACAGGCAGTGCTGGGTGCCAGGCAGCCATGCTGCCCCACACTGCGTTGCACCATATGGGAGAGATGTGCCATGGCCCTGAGCACCCCAACAGCTGCTGCTGCTATTGGTGAGCTGTAGGCCGTGTGTGTGTGGGGGGGGGGAGCATGTGGGCCCTGCAGGGGGTAGGCAGAGGACCCACCCCTCCCAAGCTGCCCCCCTCACAGTCCCCCACACTTGCATCCCCCTTACCCCTTTATCCCCCCACCCCCTACTTACCTGAAACAGAACCCAGGTCTAGGTCGCTGCAGCCTGCACTGCTCCTTGACCCAGATGGGCAAGGTGCGGACATAGAGATGCTCTGGCTGGCTACCAGAGCATCTCTTTAAAGGACCTGAGCCTCCAGTTGCCTCAGGGCACAGTCCTGCCCCACTTTTTTCTGTGGGTTATTTTTTGATACCTGGATATCTGGATACCTCAACTGCTTTGAGACTCAGGAAGAGGCATGTGTGGGCTTGTCTGGATGCGCCCACATTGGCTAATAACCTAGGGATGGGAGAAATGATAGTATTTTTTGTATTTGGCAAGATCAAAAGTTTACTGTGTCCATGGTCAGGACCTCATAGTTATGGCTGTAACCTTGTTTCATTCAACTAAGTAACCAACACATGCAATCAGGATCAAAGGAATATTTTGCTCTGTCTAAAGATATATAACAACTGTGTGAAATGTTGCTATAGAGAGAGGCAATTTTTCTGACAATTTGTCCCCTGCCATGCATGTTGTGCACAGATGTCTGTCTCAGAGCTCACACCTATGGTGTTTATTGACCTTTAGTTTACCAGCTGATTCTAATTTGATACAATGTAATTTAATGTGGTGTCATATTAATGATGGTGTTGATGATGTTGGAAAGACAGTTTCTCTAATCTGCGACTCAGATGCAAGCTCTTTGATACCAGTTGCCACAAAGTTGGGCAAATTGCATGCCTTTGACTCAAACAGAATAAGGATGTGATTTTTCCAGCATGCGTTCTTTCATGGTTGATTGGTACAAGAAATCAGCACCCCTAGTTTTGCTACGTATTTGTAGTATTACAAATAGCTCTTGAAATGATTAGCTATCTAAAAGTCTTTTCAAGTTTCTAATCTAGTAGCATTCTGCATGCTGTTTTCTTCTCTAAAATTTGTCATCAATAATTTATTGCAGATTTCTGATAATGCTGAATAATAATGCAATAGTTATGGAAATACACTATCTTTGGTGGCATAACAGTGTTTCTAGATAAATTCATTATCACCAGTACAGTTGCAATACATAACAAATTAATTCAGACTGATTCATTTTATAACTATTAAAATGTTAACAGTTCTTCTGATTTAGGCATAGGTTTGACATATTGTTTACCAGTGCCTTTAGCTATTTCAGCTTTTATAACAGTCTGTAATAAATGAAATAATTTATTTTTAAGCTCTTGTGAAAGGGATTCCTTACTGTGAGCTGCCTTTACTAAATCCTGCCATATGCAACAGTTGAAATGTGTAAAATATGTTGTGTTTATGCTGTCTGCTTCTTATAATCATTTTCATTCTATCTGATCAGATTTTATCACAGCTGCATAGTTGTGAAGCTTTATTCTAATACTGTTGAGATAGACATTCTTCATTTATAAATCTGTTTGAGTTTTGATCAACTGAGTAATGGAGGAGAAGGATATTCGCTGTTGTTTAAACTTGAACCTACTTTACTGAATGTTCTTTCTGATTGTAAACTAATAGGTAAAAGACAGGTGCTTGATACAGATGTGATACAGTCTTTGTTCTTTATATTGATAATTGAGTCCACTGTATAGATTTGAATTATTTACCCACTAATGATAAACTGTGTATTTATTTTAAGAATTTTCTTGGCACAGGGCATAGATTTATTATTGTTATAGTCATGCTGAAGTTTTTTTAAATTGTTCATTGCAGAATTGCTGATGACATCTAGCATAATAAAATCCCTTTTGCAAATGCATTTTGACGGCATGAGTAAATGCCTATTGGGGTGCTACAAAATTATCATCATCATCATACAAAATTACATGCTATACAAATAGCTACTTTAAAATAAGAAAGAGTAAATTGGATTTGAAAGACATTGAACGAAACAAAATAAAACAAACAAAAAAAAAAACCCCTCCAAACAATTGTTCTGAATTGGTACACATTTCTGTGGATATTCATGTTTTTGTATCTATACTCATTCTGTATGTGTGAAAGTATTCCTAGGTAGAAGGTGTATACTTATTGAGAGATACATTGGCCACGTAGAAATACTGTGGGAAATCAGTTAAAGCACTGTTTACCCACATTTATGATGAAAGAGTATCTAGAATGAAAACTTACATTGTATGACAGAAATGAGTGTGAGTTAATTTGGTAAATGCAGATTTTTTTTTTTCAGTAGCAACCACAGTATATGAGCGCACATGCGTGTGTGTGGGGAGCTAGGTTGCGGAGCTGAGTGCATGGGAAGATACTAAAAGATACCTTGTAGAAATCATTTCCATAGTGCATACATAGTACCTTATTAGATCTATTTTTCATTTTTAAAAGTCTAAATCTTAAATCTGTTTACTTCCCTTACAGTAAGCAGGAGGTAGTACTGCTTATTCAGCAGAAAAAAGCAAAATGATGTTATGAAAAGGCTATGATGTGGGGAGTTGCTTTCATTTTATTCTTGACATAAAATATTTGGGATAGCAAAATGCCCCACTAAAAATAAGAGGTACATGAATTGAAAATAAAGGCAAAAAAAAAAAAAAAATCCATCTGCCTAGCTGTGCTTATTCAAATGCAGAAATATCTAGCAATCACCAATCATCACAAAGTCATAAATATTTTATTTTGTATACATTTCTACACTTTCATTTATGCCTTTAGTTTTTATTTTTTTTAACAAAACACTTCACTGTCTTGTGCTTTGCTTCATTTCATCCTTTGTTTAAAATGCATCTATTGGTGATGTGACTGCCTTTGTGGAAAGATGTAGTCACTTATTTAAAAGCAGTTTAATGTTACAATACACTATTCCATCTCTCCATGTAAAATGAACTAAACTTCATTACTCCATGATGTTTATATTTTCTTTTGTCAAAATATTGAACATAGTATCATGCTTGATTTTAATAAAAACCTTGTTAGCCTTGCTGGATAAGGGGCATTGAGCCAGATGAGGAAGCCTCGTTTAATGACCAGACCATGACCTCATTTCACTGGCATAAGTATAGATCAAAGTGGAAGATGCCTGTCCAGTGTGAAGTGTGTTTCTGGGCATGACAGCACTTCACATTAGAACGACAGCTCAAGAATACGACAGTCAAAATTGCTTAATTATGTCCCAGCTTTGTAATTATGCATCCTTGCTCCTGCAAAGAGCACAGTTGTCATTTCTTTGACATAATTATTTAAAGCTGTACCCTCCTTCAGTTATAGCTTGTATATGAATTTTGCTACCAACTCTTTAATCTTTAAAACTTAAAGATACAGAACAGGCCAGGGTTTGTAATCCTACATCTGAGGATTTCCTATATTTCTATGCTGCATATGAATTGAATAAACAAAACAAACAGATGAATTATCCAAACAAAAAAGCATACAAATATGTGATTTAAAAAGCCTGTCCATTTATGCAACTATTTATCCAAATGGTATCATATTGGAGTGGGGAGGGGGTGTACATGCATGTATGCTCCCTTCCCCTCCCCCCTGCACACACCTCCCTGCCAATATGATACAGTTTGGTTAGTTACACACACACACACACACACACACACACACACACACGCACTCTCTCTCTCTCTCTCTCTCTCTCTCTCTATTAGGC